ATTGTAAACTCATAAAATTTGATGTGGGTTCCATGTCTAATAACTGAGATATGGGTGTGCCCAAAATCCACCAGCCGCCACTGGTAGAACGAACTGGCTCATTAAAGCCGTTTGGGAAATAAAAAATGGGTTTTTTGAAAAAAGAACCCCCTGTACATTGAAAAGAAGTAACTTTTGAAAAATTATTACCGTAATGTTGGGATCGATTACTTTTAAAATTGGGCTTTAAGTAGAGATGCAACTTAAAAAAACGGTCAATTTTTTTTTCTTTCAGGTTTTCTTTTATTGTTTTTTTCAAATGGTTTTTTTATATTTTAGGTTTTTTTCAAGATTAGTCCCATTTGCCTAATTTTTTATGTTTCCAGTCCAGTTCATGGACTAAAATTAGTCACTAAATGACATTTAGTAAATGTAAATACAGTCTCGCGCTATGCACGCGCCACCACCACCGAATTGACCAATAAGGGCCGCGCTTGTATTGATTTTGTCCTAAAAAAAGTAACTACCTATAATATTTTTGATTCAGCGCTTGATTTTTCAAAAGGCTACCAAAAGCACTTGTTTCATGATTTTTCAAATTCAAGTAGAGTATGGAATTTTTTCTTCAAAAAAACAATAGCAAATTTTCGTGGGACATTTATTCATTGGTGGTTAAGTCAGAACATTCCGTGGACCAAAAAAGAAATCCTTTAATTTTTTCTATTAGTGTAGAAGTTTTACATTGCTATTGGCTTCTTATGTGGAAACTACCAAATAATAAGAAATCAGATTTTTTAGTCTCGGTCAAAATTTTCAATAATGAAAAATGTAATATATTCAACATTTCACTTTATTATTAATAAACATTTTACATAAAATTTCATTTTGAAAAATAACTCCATTTTTTAAGATTGATGTTATTTATTGACAGAATTTTAGACTTTTAGACTTTATTGTAGCGGATTTGAAAAAAAAAACAAAAAAAAACCGTTTTTTTTTCTAATTTTGTTCATGTTTTTTTTCACATCTGAAAAAAACCGTTTTTTTACATCTCTAGCTATAAGTAATAAAAAAAACAAAAAAGTGATTTTGAAAGCAAAGCTCAACTTTGCACACTGCGCATAGCAAAAGGGCACATCATATAGGTGCGCAATGGGGTTGAACGTGTGCCTTATTTAGCACATAATCAAAAGTATTAGAGGTCAAATGGACGGTTAGCGAGTTATGAGCCAAAAAGCAAAATACTCCCCTTTCGGGGGATGAAATTAGGGGACGCGGAAAGAAATTTTTGGGGAATATTCTTGATTCATTATCAGCACCCCTGCCTCTACATTAAAAAAAATAAAACCCGACTACCATCGAGTTTTCCTTCTACAATCTTTGTTTCCTGGACTAAATTCCAATTATTGTAATTGTGCATTCCATTCAGTGAAATACCGTAAGTGTATGCTATTAATTGAAATTGACGCTGTTAATTTCAAACATTAAAATTACTGGATAATTTTCTTTACCAATCAGTTTAATTCAAACATTGAAATAAAGCGAATTTTTTACTTTAAAATTTTGCATCTAGCATGAATTTCAAACAATGAAATAACGCGAATTTACAAGTTTGTTGAATTTTTTGGTTACTTTAAAGTTTTTTGATTAAATGATAAAATACGGCGTTCCATAGCGAAGACTATAAAGAATCTTCTGTTAAATCCATATGGAATACCACTGCAAAAATGATGCATAAGGTTTGGCTTTTTTGTCCAGTGAAATAGGTAGACTTCTTGAATAGGTATCATTCTAGCTAAAAAAATTTAGTCACTATATTTCTCCTGTTTTATTTAAGTTTGTTGCTTATTGGCAATTTCGTTCATGCCTGACGGCTCATGGTTTTGTCGTAAATTTCATTCACGAAATTGTAAAGCAACAAACTCTTATAACAATCGAAATTTTTTGCAGGCAAAATTTTCTCTTTTATGATATTAATAAGCGATAAACGATTATTTGGGTACACTAGCGCCAGTTACTTTTTAAATTGTAGGAAACAATGCCCCCTACATTTTTTATTTAAAAACTTTTTTTGCTACTAAAAAAATGTTGCCCAATAATTTTTCACCAAACGATTTATGCAAAAAAATGAACACGATCAATTTTTTTTCGACTGTATACAGTCGAAAAAAAATTGATACTATGGTATGTTTTTTTTTTAAATAAAATTTACTTAATAAAAGTTACATAAATCAATCTAAAGCCGTAATTTAACGATTTTTTCTGGCTAGACATTTGACTGCAGCTTTTATTTGTACATGCACATAACTAATATCTTTAATAAAACTGTGAACGGAAATAATCGAACACGATTAGTCGATTTGACAAATATTTTGCATATTTTGTACTTTTAACTTTAAGGGGTGATTGTACAATTCAAGTTCAGTTGCAGTTTAACTTTAATCGATGTTTTATTGGTTGGTAACAATTGTTATGAGTTATAACTTTTAACAATAGCTTAAGCTTAGGTTAAATGTAAGTGAAAGCTAAACTCTAATTGTACAACTGGACATAAGGGTTCTTATAAGAAAATAAAAACATTTTTTTTGCGAATATTTTATTTTACACGATTTACAATGTCCATCTAATCTAAACATCACAGATCTAAAGTGCAGTTTTAAACCCAAAAACACTTTTCAGGAAGACATTCTAAGCACTACTAATTTTAATTAGTACCTTTGCTTTTTAGAGATCTCTAAAATACAGACATACCTAATTTATAAATGCACTATTTTTTTAAATGTTTTTGGCACTAACAATAATACAACTTCTAGGAATTCCAGTAGGTATATCATGTATATCATTGAAAAACTTCATTTAAAGAATATCATTTCTAACATTGAATATAATATAGGCAGGTATTTTTATTTTAATAATGTTAATAATATTTATATTTATAATAAATAAATTCATTTAATTTTTGTTATTTATTATAATAAATACATTTTTGTTATTTATTATAATAAATACATTAAATAAATATTTTTAGGGTTTTATGTCCTGATTTAACATATCAAACAGGGTCAAAATTATTTTCGAAATAAACAATTAAACTAGCAAATTCATTTTGTTTAATTTACTTTCGACTATTAATAGGTTATAAAAATTACCAAAACAAAAAAAAATTTTAAAACTTATTTTATTTAAGGCGTATACACACGTGTGCGTAGTTTGTTTATGTTATTGTTACGATATGATAATTTATTTGTTTTTATAACTTTTATTTGTTGAATTTTTTTTAATTAAACTTTATTTGAATGGTTGAATTTAAATTCGCTTAATTTAAAAATGCATTGTACAGTTTTTGCACACATTTTAACGATTTAAAATAATTTTTGAAATAAACAATAAAACTAGCAAATTCATATTATATTTGTTTACTTTACTTTCGACTATTAATACCTACGGAGTTGGTTATACAAATTACCAAAACAAAATAATTTTTTTAAACTTAAATAATTATTTTATCTAAGGCGTATACACACGTGTACGTAGTTTGTTTATGTTATTTTTACGATATGATAATTTATTTGTTTTTATAATTTCCCTACTACGTTGATTTTTTTTTTTTTTAATTAAAACCTTATTTGAATTGTTGAATTTAAATTCACTTGATTTAAAAATACGTTGTACAGTTTTTGCCATAATTTTAAAATATTATTAAAATGAAAATTATTAAAGTTGGGTAGCCTACTATTTAAAAATCAAACTAGTGTTAAACTCCATTTAAACTTTACACCAAATTACACTGTGCAACATTTTCGGAAAAAAATTAAGATGATGGGGTTCTGAAAGTATTTTTGGTTTCTACAATCAAAATCATGAATTATAGCGTTTACAGAATGTTTAGATTGATTCTGTTTTTTTTTAATATCAATTTAAAGTTTAAGTAATTCTAGATCCAGAAATATCATAAAATAATATATAACTAGTACATAAAAGATAATTATTGGTTTTGTATATTGTTTTATAAAGTAATAACAATCAAATAAAGAAAAAAATAATTAAATAAAAAAATAATAAGAACAATAAAATGCAATTTTTTTTAAAAATTGAACCTTTTTCAGGATTTAATATGTTGTAGTGCAATTTCTTAGAACTTTCGCTTCTACCATAATAATAATTATGATAATTATTATTATTATTATTATTATTATATTAATTATTAAAAACATATTCTTTTTAACAAATAGCTATACCAAATTTTATTTATAATTTTATGCCAAAATTTCCATTGCCATACACCAACTAAACATCGAATCAAACCTCTTTCCTCTACAACGATTTTCCATTTCCATTATGGTTTGATGTTATTCTGATTCGAACAGGTCAAGATGTGCATGGAGCAAATGTACTTTTAGTGACATGTTTACCCCCATTTTTAATTTTTGTTTTATTTTTTATTATTTCTTTTTAATTTATTGTTATGACAACAATTTCTTACCAATTAATTGGTTTAAATTAATAAATAACGGGTTTTCGGGTTCCAAGATTAATAAAACTTAATATCGATATTAAAAAAAACCTGAATCAATCTAAACATTATGTAAATGCAAAAAGGCATTCTTTGGATAGGAGAAACGAAAACTATTTTCAGAACTCCATCATTTTTTTTGGTTTGGTTTAAATTAATAAATAACGGTTTTTCGGGTTCCAAAATTAATAAAACTTAAAATCGATATTAAAAAAAACTTAATCAATCTAAACATTCTGTAAACGCCAAAAGGCATTATTTGGATAGGAGAAACGAAAACCACTTTCAGAACCCCATAATTTTTTTGTTTTGGTTTAAATTAATAAATAACGGTTTTTCGGGTTCCAAAATTAATAAAACTTAAAATAGATATTAAAAAAAAACCTGAATCAATCTAAACATTCTGTAAACGCAAAAAGGCATTCTTTGGATAGGAGAAACGAAAACCACTTTCAGAACCCCATCTTTTTTTTGCTGTTGCACTGTGTTATATTACTTAAAAAATATAGACAACCTTTAGGTCGCTAAAAAATTGGGTGATACAATATTAGTAAAATTACCTAAATAACAATTAAACAAAAATCAGTCTAAATGTAAAGAGATTAAAATTTAATTCCGGTATATGTAGGAACTATTTTTTGGTATTAGAATACATAAATTCAAAATAAATCCATCGGATTAGTTTTTAATTTATCTTGGAAGATTTTGAATCCACAACGCTTAAAGCAATACCCAATTGAGCTGCATAATAAGTCGGCATAACCAAAACCTAAAAAAAAAATAGAAATAACAATTGTTTAAACCGAAAAACTTTTTTTCCGAAAATGGTGCTATACTATGCTTCATAAAAAATACATCTATTGTATATTAGAACAAAAAAATATACATATTAAGGTGGTTCAAAAAATAAAAGTTTTAATTAGGTATATTAGTAAAAACATTAAATTATTTATAATATTTTGTCGTATAACAATCAATAATATAAAACACTAAAATTAAAAACTACGAGATAACGGATGGTTTTTATGGCTCAGTAAACTGTTTCCGGTGATTTGCGACTAGGCAAAGAATATACTGCATCTGTTCTTCGTCCTTGGTCAGTGACTGGGTGTATTTTTGAATTCCCCGTTCGGCAGTATCATAATGACATTGTCAATTCTATGGTGGTACTTTCAAGAATTATTTACTCTTGCATTTTCCTTCTTGCAGTTCTTTAATTAGCAAAATTTTCCTTAAGAATATACTGCATATGTTCTTCGTTGGTCAGTGACTGGTTGTATTTTTGAATCAGGTGTTTCGATTTTCTATTTGATGCTATTTAAATTATTAAAATGTGAAGGTTGCTAAGTAATTGAGCATTTGAGTTTTTTGAATTAAAAAATGTTCTTGGTAAATTCGGCCCTGGCGGTATGAATTATCACCATTTAATTTTTTTACAGTTTTTTGTTTTGTAAAAAACCAGTGTATTTTTAAGGCTGTTTATAAAATAATTGTACTCTTAAGTGTAACAATATTTATTACTTGTGCCTGCAATTTTACTTTTTATTTCGTTGGAAAATGGTTAGCGCTCGCCCGTTGGCAGAAAAAACAGAAGCAATGTTTTATTTATGTTGAAGTTGGACGTAATATACATCAGTGGCGGATTGTGGATTTTGGGTATACCGATATCTTAGTAGACATGGGACCCACACCAATCTTATATGAGTTTATAATGACATTAAATAGACAAGTATCTAAAAATAACAGATTTTATACCATTTTAAATTTTTATTATTCTTTTAACTAAAATTTAAAAAAATTAAAAATAGTAAACCTAAAATTTGTAAGTTTTGGATTTTTTAAATAAATTTTGAAATTTGTCGATAAACTTTAGTGAATTATGAATTGCACGACTTTAATTTGAATAAACTTAATTAGGGGTGGCAGACGCACTGAAAAAACAATTTTTTTTTCGAAAACTTTAATTTACATTCTACTTGCGCAAAACCTATCTATTTAATATCATTATAAACTCATATAAGTTTGGTGTGGGTCATATGTCTACTAACTGAGATATCGGTATACCCAAAATCCACTATCCGCCACTGATTTGCACCAAGGTATCCAGAACTCTATTTGCAGAAAATATCTACGGAAGTAAGTGACTAAATTTCAAACAACTGAAAGTGTGAGTAGGCAGAAAGGATCAGGTGGAAAATCAATCTCAGAAGTCAAATAAATAGAAATAGGTTCCGTCGTCAATAATAATATCCATACATTGATTATAATAAATGTATGGATTAACATGTGCACATGTTTTTCGTGAAGGTCATACCCAGTACCTACCCACAAAAAGTCAATGTATAGGGGGGAAACCTGCGAAACCATATTGTAGGACATCTTTTTGGAAGAAAATTTAACAGGCATCTTGTAGTTAAGCATGCTTGAAACACAAATTCATCCAATGATTCGAGCTAATCCTGACGAATTTTGACATGGAAGTAATATTTCAACAAGGAGTGCCCGCAAATTATTTTAGGAATGTTAGACAGTGGCTTGCTTGATGGACTTATCCAAATAGGTGGATTAGTAGGCGTGGTCCTACTGAATGGCCGGCTCGATCTCCTGATTTAACGCCACCTGATTTTTTATGTGAGGTTATTTAAAATCGAAGGTCTATGTACAGGGTGATCCCCTATAATGTCGCCCCCTTTAACTTTTTTATTTTAAGTGTACCAAAAAATTTACAAAAATATACAGGGAAAAACAAAAAGTTTATTTTTTCTTAATGGATCACCCTATATATGAATTTATTTTTCGATTCCTTGTAAAATTCTAAGCATAATTCATATAACATACCATATACCTAAATTCAACCGTTTCTGAAATATTTAAATTATTTTTTAAATATTTGTCTTTCTCTGTCGGCATTTTTACTTACTTAACAAGACATATTGACATAATGTCACTATAGTTATTTGTTTTCAATAAACATTTTGTTATCCCGAGGCTTCTTGATTTGTATCAGTTAAAAAAAATATTTAATCATAACATTTCCCCGGGAGGGCTCGCATTTATTTAAGAGTGAAACTTCTATGTGTTTGTTCGGTGGTTACACTTTACAAATTGTTAGTCTTCGAAAGTTTGCGAAGGTGAGTTTGTCGATGTTCGGTTATTTTAATACCTTCGGCCGAAGCCAAAGGTGTATGATTTAATTAAATACATTTATTTAATAACATCATATTGACATATAAAAAATTTAACATAGCTTCAGCCAAACATTAAAGGAAGTTTGGGAATTTATAGAAAGTCTGCTTAGGATGAAGGTGGCATCTTTAGCCGAAACCTAAGCTTAGGACGGACACTACAAATTGTATTTATTTAGGCTGCACTTCATATCCTTTATCTATAATCCTGCCCCAGTGGCGGCTCGTGGGTGTACAGGAGGGTGAGGCTACCCAAGCAACAATTTAAGTATTTGTTACGTATATGGGACTATTGAAGAAACTTCAAAGTGTTTTGCGACAGTCGCCGGTCTCTTTATATTACTCTTTCATTACTACGTTACGACTAAAGTGGGGAACAATTATTGAGTTCCAAAAAGGTAGCAAATATGTCACTAGCTACCAACCCTGCTACTATTTGGGACGTAGCTGCTACGTTACTAGAACGTTCCAATATCGTTGCTAGAGCGTTATAATTACTTTTATTATTTGTTTTTACTTCTATATTAACTGTCTTTGTCAAACTTATATTAGATTATACTATCCCTCCTTTTTTAAATGGAACCACTACGGACTTGGCTTTTCAATGTCGTCGTTTATTAAATATGTACTGGTAGTTTATAACTTCCAGAATAACAATATAATGTTTAATTAGACAGGTAGATTTATAAACCCTTTAAATTTTACTGTTGAACTTATGAATTTAGTTTTTGTAAAATAAATGCGCTTCATCAATATTTAAGTATAAACAAATTATTTATTTAGTAATGTTTATAAATAAAAAAATCTTAATATTTATTATTATTTTTTTTATTTAATTATTAATACCGTCTATTACCAACAATATTTCTATTTATTAAAAAGTAAACAACCATTTACAAACAATTAAAATAATTTATTATTTACATTACCACGTGGTATTGTACAGTAAAAAATGGCCGATAAGAAGCATTTTCCTTTGAAGTAGTTTTCGCTACTTTAAAGTTTTTTTCCACTTTACGGTTGTTTTGGTTAGTACCATAAACGTTCCAAATACTAAAATAATAACTTTTAAGTTATTAACTTTGTAGTTTTTAACTCATGTTCCAGTTTCGAGATTTTAACTTGCAAAGGGACTACAAAGTAAAAATAATTATAATCCCAGACCGCAAAATCACATTCCCTGCACATGTCAGGAATATTCCCAGGAATATTCCAATCGTCCCAGAATATTCCCAGGAATATTCCTGGCATAATCAAATGTCCGCTTTTTGGTTAATCCAGGCATCATAAAAAGAATATTCCATATATCTGCCTGCAGAAGACTCAAGGATTGTTAGGGGAATATTCTTTGATATAATTTGGGGATTATTCCCAGCCCTTATTGCCTCTTATACCCAGGAACTTAACTTAAGTATAGCCATTATTGAGTTACTGAGTAGATCAGTCCCACTCTAATCATTGTTTGGCTGTGCCATCACAGACGCACATCTCCAACTAATATTATTAACCTATCGGTATATATAGTTATTAAGCGTGCGTAAGCAACGGTGAGAGGTATTGCAACTAAAGTAATGAATATTCACTGGGAATATTCTTAGATGATGCTTGGAAGTTTTAGAGGATCATTCTAGGAATATTCCCAATGAATATTCCTAGAATGAAGCGGATTATTCCTAGGCGATAGGGAATATTCCTGGAATATTTTCGAACCTTCATTGCAGTCTGGGATGTAATCTTTAGGTAGCAACCGAAAGTAACTGCTACAAATTAAATTTACTTGAAAGTTTTTTTTACTTATAACATCTTTTTTAAAGTTGCAAAGTCTTCTTGGGGGCAACCAAGTTTTACTTAAATGTTTATTACTTTATAGTAACAATTTAAGGAAAAATTAAGTTTCTGTTACAAAATATTGCTATTTAAAAGTTAGAATTACTTTTAAGTAAAAATTAAAGTAGCTGTTTAGTATACTTAACTAATTTAAAGTTATCACCACTTTGGCAATGGTTTTTGGAACCAAAAATGCTGCTTGGGTACATAAGGTTAATTTTGTCTAAATACGAATAAATTTCCACGTCACCCGGGAGGTATTATTCTGCGACGCGTTGACCTTTTTTAAAATGGAGCCGATAGCACTACTAAACCAAAAAATAAACTCTAAAAAACAAAACAAACAAAATATCACATCAAAGACTAGTTTTAATCTTAAACTTAAAAATATTGTCTTAAAAAAGTTAAAAATAAATAAATTAATCAAAAAATAAAAATAAAACTAAAAAGTCGACCCCTACCTAAGTATTAAAAAATATAAAATACTATACGTCTATCTTTTAATATTGAAAATTTATCTATTATTTGGTCGTAAAATTGTCGGTCTGCAGTGAGATTTAAAAGTAATTCTAAATTTTCAAACCGCGTCTCTAATTGAAGAATTATGCAATCTATTATTTCAAAATATAAAATTTGCTTAATAAAAACTGCTAAATCTACCTTAGTGTGTTCTCTACAATAATTAAATAAGAAATTTTACTAATCGAGACAAAAACTATAAAAGATCAGCCAAAAGTTTTAAATAATTTAATCTGAA